CTGACACACCTTGTCTTTCAGGCATTTGTCATCACTTAAAAACCTTGTGTTTTCTCCAATAAATAGGTCTTCTATCACGGTTTTAAAAATACCACGTGATAATATTTCAGTAGGTAAAATAACTAGTGGAGAAATTTATTTGACTAGACTCAAATGGCTCCACTATATTTAATTATTCCATGATACACTGTTAGATAAAAACATTTGCTAAGTTATAGATATAGAGTGATAAAATTCTTGATAAAAATGATAACAAAACCATAACCTGTATATATGCATGTATATTTATATATTAATACATTTGTAAAGGCAAAGGAAAAACATGGAAAACAGCAAATTATTACCAGTGATTCTATTAGGAGATTAGAAATCAAGGAGAGATTGCAGACTTTAGTAGAGCTACATAAAGTTTTTTGAGTAATTAAAAACAGAATTTTCTACCTTCATAATTCAGATGATGGAAATACATGAGTTGACTGAAACAAATACAAATGTTCCTGAGCAGCACTGTCCAACAGATATGTATTGCAAGGCACAAATGCAAGCCACATACACATTTTTCAATTTTCTGGTAGCCACATTGAAAAAGGAAAAAGAAACAAAACTCATTTACTTAGTATGTTTTAAATCAACACTTCCTAAATACTATCAGTTCAATATGTAGCCAATATAAAATATTCATGAGCTAGTTTACATTATTTTCATACTGTCTTAGAAATATGGTGTATGTTTTACACTTACAGCACATCTTAACTCAGACTTGCCACACTTAAAGTGATAATAGCCATTTGTGGTTAGGAGCTACCTTATTGAACAGTGCAGCTCAAAAGGAAATTAATGGTTTTGCTACTGGTGAATATCACTTCCAGAGACATCTTTGCTGTCAGCCTAGTAACGGTGTGGCTGTATCCAGGCTTGGTCCCATTGTCCCAATCTTAGTTCAGTTTTACATTGTTCATCTCTATCGTTTTTCAGTTGAGAAGTTTTGATATTATTTAATACATTTTATTATTACAGGTATGCATATAGGTTATAAAATCTACACTTTCAGGGAAAATGAACAGTGTATTCTCTGAAAGCAGTAAGAAACCAGCTTTTAAAAAATTCTCTTAACACAACTTTGTAGAAAAACAAAATATAATATGGTATTAATTCTGAATTTTAACTTGAATGTTTGGACAACTTTCACAAGGGCAAAGAAGAAAAAATGTTTCCCAAATAAAAAGTCAGTACTCAAGGCATTTATAATGTGATGTCTCATCCAAATATCTAGATGAGGAGGTTTTTAAGCCCCAATTTGACCACCAAATAGCTGGGTAAATTTAGATAATTTCCATAAATTCCCTGAGCTTTACTTTCCCCAGTCATCTGTGGTGAGCTTATTTAATATGGTTCTAAAATTTAAATTTTAAAAGATGTGTGATAACACTATAAATAAAATGCCTTTTCAGACATTGTAAAATTATTAGAATAATGGTTTTGAAGTTGACTTTAAGAGGAATGCCAGCAGTATTAAATTTCTAAATTCTAGTTTTAGGTCCTAATTTTGGATAATACAAGGAAAGAAAAATATATATAATAAAAAGAGAATAAATAATTTTCAGAATGGTGAAGTATATTCAGAGTTCTGGCCTTGTGAAATCTGAATCATTGTAAGCATATTTTTAGGTCCACAATGGATGGTTCTTGCTAGGTTGAGTTTTAAGGACACTGAGCATGGAAGTCAGCTGTATGGACCATAGAAGACAGCTAAAAATACAGTGCAAAAGGCCTAAGAATGGACAGATTTCAAAACTTGGTGACTGCTCTTCAATAAAGAGCCATGAGACTGGATAGTCATTTACTCAACTAAATCCCAGAGTTATGAAGGATTATCAAATGTTAGAAGAATATTTTCTTATGCCATTGTTACTTATATTTCCTCCATGTTTGCTAGAAAATTGACTTTGCTTCTTTGAGAATAGTATGGTAAGTCTACTATGCTTGACTTTTCATCAATTTGTTTGATCGCTAAAGTATTTCAAGTTTTTGTCTATGTCAAGGCAAGAAAGTGAGTATGTTTTTGCACTAGTTTAATTGCCACAGTAAATAGAGGAACTAATTAAAGAATATTTGATACACAAATACCCAGCTCATGAAACAGATACATTCTGAGGATGTTTAGCACTTTGAAAAATTACTTCTCATTTTACAAAATAATTCACCAACATTTAAAAAAAATAGCCAATTTCCTTACTGAAGTTAATATAGATTTATTTCCACAGAAATTTTAAGGAAAACTTTTATTACAAATGATGAGGTACGTCTTTATGGCATACTTTCTTATAAATGGGGCTTTCAAAATATATCTGTGATAAACAAAGTGTTTTAAACTTACCTGCTAGTCTATTAAACTGAATTTTCAACACACTCCTTCACCCAACTCAGACACAAAATTTAAGAAAAATAGATTTTTTAGGATTAAGAGAGCATGAAAAACATGAAACATTATTTATGTAAATGAAGGTGATTTTAAACTTCTCTGTAGCATTTAGAAATTTCTGTGGATAGAAATATGAATAGAAATAAAACCCTGAAGCACTCACAGACCTCAAATAAATAATATTTCTTTGCTTGGCATCCTGCTGTTGTTTTTTCCTATTATATCCCTACTGCTTATCTTCATTAATGCTACATAATATCACTACATATTTAGAATAGCATTCAATTCTGGTGATATTAGTAGCATCTGGTACCAATAACATTCAACACTTTGTTCATACTTATAAACACATCTGTTAGCAGCATCTGGGGGTTGTAAGAATCATCCTCTCCAGGACACTGAAAAGTAGGGTCTTACTTGCTCCTAATACATTCCTCACTTACTATCACATTCCCCTACAAAATGTCAGCACCTTAACCTCTGATGTAAATAAGCTAGTGGGGGGGAAAAGTTTTGTTGCTTTTATTGTTGTTGGCATTGCTTGAAGGAACAGAGATAATTTGAAATTAAATTCTGGTAAAGTATGTACAATGGTGAAGTAGAGTGTCCTTACTTTGGAAAAACAAAACAAGACAAAACAACAATGCACAGGAGATGCAAAGAGAAATTAATGGAAAATATATCAAATATGAAGAATAGGCCTATAATTTCTCTACTACTGTATGTGTGACTTAGAAAAAATTGAATATTTTAGTAGATGCAGGATTTGTTCTGAGTCCTAATATACTTGAAATAAAGGTGTTCTTGAAACAATGAATACATTCATTAGACTTGTGTTGCTCTAAACCTAACTGGCCCATTCCTAAATCCCTAGGACAAAACCAGATTTAGAAGTAATCAGGGGTTTAGTGTCTCTGGCTTTTCTGAAAATTAAAATCTAAAATTTCAAGTTGAGTTCGGAGATCACATACTAAATATGTTTTTAAAATCTAACTTTAATGTAATTTAGTATAAAAAAATGAAATACAGCACATTTTATATTTTGCACATTTCTCTTGCATTTCAAGAAGGGACACCTATGAAGCTTACCAAACTTATTCTCTCTCAAGGTATAGGACTTCAGAAGTGGCAATGCTAACCCCTGCATGTGTGTATTTTATAACTTGTTCTTTTTGTGTTCTGAAAGGCAGTACGATGCAGTGGTGAAGGGAATGGCTCTGATGGACACATCACAGCTCCATCATTAGCTATGTTACCTTAGCCAGTTAGTGCTGGTCTCAGTTTTACCATCTGTAAAATGGGGATAAGAGCAGGAGCTACTTCAGAGTGTTGTTAAGAGCAGTATCTATATGTTAATAGGTGTATAGGAATAGAATGGAGGCTGGCATTGCTGTTGCTGTTAATTACTTATTTTTGACGTTTGGTAATCAGAAACTGAGTGCCATAATATTATGCAGTTTGGGGCCAGTGAAAAATCATATGCAATTTCTGAGGTTCACAGAGTAATTTTGAAATAAAATGAACTCAGCATTTTTTAATTTATTTGAAATAAATGCTAATTGTATGTGGTGAAGAAACTTCCTACAGTGGCTTAAATAGACACAAGCAATGCAATTTAAACTTTAAGTTTCTAGTACCAATTTTTTGTAAATTGTGAACACTTTCCTTATAATAGTTCAGTGAATTATTATAAGCTAAATTACCTTGCAAACAATAGAAAAAAAGAAACAAACAAACAAAAAAGAATGTTGTTCCTGTAGGCAAAACTATGTATCTATATCTGCTGACAAAATTAATAATACATTTTTGAGTGATTTTAATTTTAAAGAAATGCATACCAATTACTGATGAAAAAGGAGATTCCTACGTTTTTGTACTTCTTTTGAATTGATTACAATATTACATGGATTGAAAGTACTGGAATTCAACTTTACTTAGATTTAGATTGTTAGAAGAAACTCACTTTCATTTGGATATTATTAGTACGCAATCATCTTGTTTGTTTAAGGTGCTTACAATATTATAGTTTATTATTTTTTCTATAACTAAGAAATTTTGCCATATTTTTGAAAATCATTCATAAAGATTCATATTTATACTGATAAGCAGTTGAATCTGAAATAGGTAATTTAGAAAAACTGGAGAAGTGAGTTTTTTTTCTGACAAGTTGTCCTTAAAAATCATCAATCATCAGAATATATTAAGACAAACACTTCTTTTACTTACTGAAAGGAAACCCTGGAAACCGAAAACCCTACAAAGTATTTCTGATGTTGAAGGGGTTTAGACGTGAACCCATGAGAAGACCTTCTTGCTTTAATTGTGTACAATAATTATTTACACGTCTCCTTAAGAAATAATTTGGTAATATTTTTGTTTTAAAGCCAAACTGTAGGACTAGGTGAAAAGTCCTTGGTGAGTAACCCTCTCCAGAGACCCTAAAAAATTATGAAAAGCTATTAATATTTCAGTCACATTGGTTTTTGCATATAAAAATACCTATTTTAGGAGTCAACTACCACATGAAATAAATTGCATTTGTTTTAATTGAAAAAGATAGCTAAAATTTTTCTGTGGGTTATTGCAACAGTACAAGAATACAAGGTGTGTTTATTTATTAACAAAAACAATTGTAAAACAAATTGTGAAAGCAAAAGCAGGCTACGAAACAAAAAGGTTTTTGATTGCCTTTGCCTTATTTAAACATGTTACAGGTTAATATGCCACAATTGATAAAGTGTAAGTTAGCATTTGCTAATTTAATTTTAAACATTTTCCCTCATCCAGAGCACTACAGAAAATACATATGTGTATGGTAAACGCTTCCTCCTTCAAGTATCACAATCTTGTCGTCACATAATCTTCGTGGGTGACTGTGTCTGGGAGGTTTAGATCATAGTCTATACTAGAGTCCTCTTCTTTTGCATGTTTCTCCTTTGGTATTATAGGAACCGTGTCCTCCACCACCACCTTCTCTGACTTGAATGGACACACTCTCTTGCCTACCTGTAACCCCAGTGTGTCCGTATTCCTTTCTCTATGGTCTACTAACACACACTGTTCACTGAGACCAGGAATGCTCAGGTCACCCCGTGAAGCTAATCCTCGAGATTCCAGTTGAATATTTCTCTCAAGTGGTCCTGCAGCCTGTTGACGAGCAACTTCTTCTGAAACAGAGAAGATTTGGTTTGCATTTTGCTCAGCAGCATTTTGTTTTGATCGTCTATGAAATAACCCAAGGTTTTTGATATCGGTCACAAAATTCACTTTTCTCTGCTTCTCCCTGTGTGGCTCCTGCACCACCAGGGCAGAGCCATTGCTTATGTTATGTCTTTCAGAGGCAATTGCTGCTGATCTCGGATGAATCAGGGTGGTTAAATCAAAAAGGCTGAAATTCTTTTTCTTGTCCTTGCTATTACCTTCGTTGTCACTCTTTTCATCCGAGTCTGCCGAATTTGAAGACTCCTTCGAGGCATTTGCAGATTGTATTGTGGAAAGTTTGCTTCCTCTTAGTAATCCCAGAACTTCAAAGCGGAAACTGGAAATGTCTTGCTTTAGTTCCTGCACAGAATTGAAAATGAAAAATTAGGTTATGACTTAAACATTTGGAAACATTTTCTTATCTCATAGATGAGTCAGAAATGTTTTTACTCCTTTTAAAAACAAGGATTCTACTCGACTGTGGTTCTATATAGAATTCCCAGTTCTCTCACGGATACTTGATGTCATTTTGGTGTCTCCTAATTTCCTTATTGCAGTTGGGAAGGACACTTCCTAAGACTGGTGCAAAAAGAAACATGAGTTATCTTTGCCACCAGGATGCAGCTGAGTACATTGGGTTTCTCTGGGACTACGGTTTTGAAGACTTCCTCTCCAAATTATTCATCTACTGGCAAGTTACCCATCTCTGGGTTGTATTTTATAAGGTTTTTGTTTGTTTGTTTGTTTTTAATATTGGCACAGTTTTCTGTCCAAAGAGATATGTGAAAAGTAAGTGGAGCCTAGCTTTCTAAGAGTTGAATAGCTACTTTCAGTGGCTTATTCTCTTAAAGAGGACCTTCCCCCTACATCTGGGTCAGCCTCCACATCCTAAAAATTGCTTCTGATCTAACAACATTTCTTAGATTCATCCTTTTCCTCTGTCTTTTGGGGCAACTAAATTCTCAGTCTTAACCTGATGGCAGCCTTCTTGGTAGTTTCCTGCCCCAACCTATCTCCTAAAGCAACATGAATCATTTAACTTTACAATTTGAACTTATGGCTGGGAAGAAAATCTGGGCTTCTAGCCAATTTTCAACCTGTGCTTTAAGTGTTGTAATTTCTCTATCTTCTTACCTAACTCACGACTTCATTCTCGTGTTCAAACCTGCTACTTTCTATGTTAAGTATCTCCTGTAGCTTTTGTTTGTTTTTGCCTGTAAGATCTTATTGACCTTAATCATTCTTCCAAAATCTCGAAACACTCACATGACATAACTAAATTATTTTAAACATATGATTCCAGCACATAATAGTTCACACATTCTACTTACTTCCTCTTACACACTGAAAAACTATCAAGGAGAAAGTTTATAAGTGTGTTAGTTACAATTAAACTCAAATTATAAATTCATCGCTATCAAAGTTTTGCAGAACATGCAGCAAGTTTTTGTTGTTGTTAATGTGTTAGTTACTAAATGTTGCAGATTTTAAAATCAGGCTGAAATTTCAGAAACAGAAGCTCACTCTGGGATCAGGTAAGTCAGAATGCCATTAAGCACTAGGCTTTTCTCTGTATGTTTGAAAACAATCTATTTTGAGAAGAAATTTAACCACTTGCTTTTCTTCTCTTTTTACAGTTCTGTAGGGTTTCAGTTGAAAAATCAGAGAGCACACAGGTTTGCTGGAACACACAGCTACATTCCAGCTCTGATTTTAATTCTGCTCTATCTGGATCCGTATTCCGCACAATCTGCCTCTTGTGACGAAGATGAAAATGGTTACCTTAAAGTTCTCTTCAGTCAGGCCTTCTTCAGTTTTAGCATCTCTGATCATTGCAGCAACGTATCGCTTCACAAGGTTCCTCATAACTTCCTGGGGCATTTTAGAACAAGAGTATTGATATTCAATGTGTAAATAAATTTCTCTCCTGAGTCAGTTCTGAAGGGGGGACTGCATTTATTTTAATGAAAATTTCAAGACATAATACAAGGACAACTTACTTGGTATTGGTGATGTCTTCTTAAATTATCAGCAGCTCGCCTCTGAAAAGGAAAAGGACATTTCCTTTCTGGTTATATGGTTCTATTGCTATTCTAAAAAAATAATTTATTGTTTTTTTAATCAAGAATGTTTTTATTCTCACTTATTCAAAGTGGGAGTTTTACTAGGCAGTGGCCAATGGCTAAAGTGTGCTGCACATGAATCAAAAGAATGACTGAACAAAAACACTAAGATGTGAGTATATAACCTTTATGACATTTAAAACAGAATAACTTAACAATGACGGAACCATTGTTCTCATACAGGATACAGGATGATGGAAAAGTAGTTAATTGGAGTTAATATACACTCAAAATCAGTTGAAATGATGCTAAGAGAAAGAGATAGGACATATTAAATAAAAATTTAAAGTCTTCATAAATATCAACATGGCAAGATTAAGAAGCTAGTTACGTTATGTAACAGGTAACTGGAGACCTCATTAGTCACTGAACTCTCCAATATTCATTTCAATGATATATATAGTAAGAGGAGATTCCTGTTTAAATAGATGGCTGGATTTAACAAAATAAATAAATAAAGGTTTCTGTTGAAACACTGCATTTATTAACTCATTTAAAAAAAATTAAATGTGAGTCCCAGCTCATGTTTTGAAGACATCACAATGGTCTGAGAGCAGAGATGGGGTAAGCACAGAGCAGTGATTTTGGAGTGTAGAATAGAGAGATGAGTTGTTTAATGATTGGGAAAAAAAAGCCCATTATGAGATGAGTGAAATGATAAATGACATCAAAATTATATATTTGCAGATTCACAAGTATTCTACAGATATTAGGAAAAGAACCCGACATAATCCTAGATTTATGTATGTTGAATAAACATCAGCATTGATTCTTCAGGAAGAAAACTGGCCAAAATAATCTAAAATAAAAATATCTCTATAATAATGGAATTAATTTGGTAAATTGTGAGAAAGCAAAAGGAATAATATATCTTGGGTTTAAAATGAGGTTTTTGATCTTGTTCCTTAATAAATAATCATAGGCTGATAAAATAGAATATTGAAAAAAACTGTGCCTGTATCACTGTGAAATGATATTTCAAATATTAAATAATTTAAAAGAAACTCTTTTCTTCTCTTCAGAGAAATAGAAGAAAATGCTATTTTCACTGGCCATAAGGATGCAACTGTCTTTCATGGTTAGTAGTGACTTGTAGGAACAGATAAAACAATGCTTAGCTTCCTAAAGGTCACTGATTATTTTGAATATCATTCGCTTTTGCATGAGAAATAAATTTTGAGAAAAACATTTAAAATAAGATTAAGCCATCAATTTAAAAACTCAGAAATTTGAAACAACACAAATGTAGAGCATCTTGAAAAAAGTATAGCATGGGAATTTTATGGCTGCGCCACCAGATGGAGGTGTCTGACTCATATTGAGACAGCTCAGCTGAAACGTAAGACAAACAGCACTTCTAGAAGGAAACACACAGTCTTCTGAATCTCCTTAAATTTACTTAAACTAAAATACTAAAGTGAATCGTTCATCAATTTCTTTAACAGTCTCACTGTAAATACAATATCAGAGATCTGATTTTAATTATTTAAGTAGCTAGAGACTCTTAATTTAATATAGAAAGAATTTCGTCTCCTTAATTTTTATTGTTTTGGGGTTCTATAGCTTTTCACTACCGTGTTTTAGAATCCTATCCTTCTAAATTCCAATAAAGAAATTTTCAACAAAGAGCAGTTAGAAGTCAGGATTTAACTTTAAATTTCTTTAACATCAAGTTAAAATTAGGGATAACAGAATCAGAAAGTTATGACTAATAAGTGAAAATTATCATGATATATTTTAGTATTAAAATGAGCACAAACTGTCTTTCCTTCAGTAGAATCTTACTCATCCAAAGTCAAAAATTTTTAATGCAAATGTAAAAAGACTACATTTTAAAAAATAATTGTAGGTCAATTTTCTTGGGAAAAAATTTAAAAAATCAAAATAGCTTGTCAAAAAGAGAGAGAAACACTAAAAATGTTCACTATGGTAACTTTCAGGTGTTATTCAGTTTCTTTAGCCCAGGTTTAAGACTAAGTTAATATAATTCATTATTTTGCCAATGAATTATTTTCCAAAATTTTGCGGTAGTATCACAAAACTATTTTTTAGTTTTATGAAATTTTATCAGGCAATGAACTTCAACATCCTGGCTAGAAAAATAGGAATGGTTGAAGTTAACCATCTTCTGAGCCTGAAACCTAAAAATGAATGCAGTGTACAGTACTCACCAAATGATGAATGCTAAATTATGCAGTTCATAGAGCTTGCTTCTGTTTAATCTCTGTTTCCTTAGTTAGCATGACAGAATAGGTTGTTAAGTGATCATCACCATTATGCCCTCCAGTTCCTACTTTCTGGGATAAAGTGAGGTGTGATAATAAGAACATGGTCCCAGGGGGTACATCTGGGTTTGAAGCTGACTGTGCCTAGTCATGGAGTTTAACTCTGAAACCCTCCCTCTTCCCTGATTTTCTATTTTGCAAGGTGAAGATAAACTCCATGGGTAATTTTGAAGATGACATGAGATAAGAGATTTATGGCATCTGTGGCTAACTTATGTTAGTTCTTGTCCTCTGCATTTTTTTCCTTTTGATTAATAATATGATTTAACACCCTTTTAAAATATCTTGATTATCAAAGCTTGTGCATAGTAGGACGCATATTATGATTACCTCTGAGGAAGTAAAGTAATATATTTAGATTTAACTGTGTCTCTAAATCATTTTGATGGTAATTCACGCTTCTGAAGAGCATTTCCTTCAGCTAAATCATTAGATGCCTTCAGCTTTGGCAGTAGAGGGGTTTAGAGGTAGGAAACTTGCATGTAAGTGATAGAGCAAGGGGGATAGTTCTGGTAAAATTGGATAGATGTGACCCAAACTTTGTAGGCAGTCATCTTTTGGGGTAGCCCAAAAGTTTTATGAACTTTTTTGAATGACATTGAATTTTTGCTGTGACCCTAATGAGACAGCCATATGTGAGCATTGATAAAGAAACTCAAAGGAAAATTCAGAGGTCACAGCAAAAGGGAAGGCTGGTTAGGGGTTCCTGCCGGGGGGACCTGTGGAATGTACCTCTTACAACATGTTGCTACTGAAGAGCCACTCTGATTTGCTGTCTCTTTTGGTTGAGTTACAGAGCAGAGTCTGCAGGCCTGGGGGTGGGAGTTTTGCCTTCGCCTTTGTCTCTGGCTGAGCTCAGGGACATTTGTCTCTTCAGGGATTCAGATAATTTTCATGGGTTGAGGCAAGGAGAAGTCTACTTCTATGGAATGCAAGATATTGGGGAAGGTGGTTTATCTACCTCGGATCTCAGTTTTTTTAGTGCAGAAACCATGAGTTGAAAGAAATGGTGCCAGGCAACTGAAGGGAAGGGCATCCTGGATATGGAAATGCGATCCTTTTACCATGTGCTTGAAGCTTTTCATTTCTCTGCAACCCCTAAAACGGGCTTTGCCTCATATCTGAGTCCTGGGATGTTGCTGGTGATAATCCTGGCACTGTATATTTGGGTTAGGTTTTCCATGGGGTTGTGGGGGAGTAAAGCCAGCTTGTCTCAAGGCTCCTTTTTGAAATCAGAACTCTCTTAACTTGTAGGGCTAATTTAAGGTATATTTATTAAGTGACTACATGTGTATGGTAGTGGAGTGCAAGAAACCAGAGATGAATGAAGCACACTTTTGCCCTTAAATGGCTTATAGTCCAAAAGGTGGATTGCCAAGAACATGAATGACTACACAGGAAGGCAAAATACAAAAGAAAACATGGGAGGTGCTGTAAGTGTGTTATTTGAATACAGGGAAGAAGAAGGTTATACTGTGCTAAGGAAAGAAGCCATAACAGCCCTCATAAAGAGAATGGGGTATTAGATGCGACATGAAGGAATCATAGGATTTGGACAAGGGGAGGTGCACAGGTGTTCTAGACAATTGGAATAGGATTAGCAAAGATTCTATGGCTAGAAAGTGAGAGACACATTGTGAAGACTTCTGGCAGGACAGTTGCAAAGTCTCTACTACTGGGAATATACAGATTAGATTGTAGTGGGAAGTTAGCACAGACTCTTAATGTAGAATTTTAGATGGCACATGAATTCGGTGGTTACAGGCACCTGGGGATTTTGACTAGTTGAGTGACATGTGATGAAAGTTTAATCTCACTGATAGTCATCTAGCAGCAGCATAAGGTGGGAATGAGACTTCCTAGCTTCTGGTGGTAGCTGTCAATTCTTGGAGTTCTTTTGCTTGCAAGTGCCTGTCTGCAATCTCACATGGTGTTTTTCTTGGGTCTCTTTGTCTTTACATGCCCATGTTCTTACAGGAATCTATTCCAGTGTAATCTCACCTTAACTAAGTATGTCTGCAAAGATCCTTTTCCCAAATAAGTATGGGGGGAGGTTAGGAGTTCAACCTATCCTTTTTGAAGGGGCACACAATTCAATTCATAATATATGTACTCTTTGCAATATACATCACAATAATTTTTGGCAATTAGTGACACCATTAAATATTATACAATAGAACTACTGTCAATGACATTTAGGATATTCATATCCTTTTACTTGGTAAAGATCAGCTGAGCTTCAAAGGGATTTGCTACCTTAAGAGAAGATATATTTTCTTAACGATTGTCACTGGAAATGACCAAGAACAGGAGATCTGAATAATTTTTTATAAAAGTAATATAATGAAAGCCATTTCATTTAAAAATACCTACGTGAGTATTTAGTATTAATGTCTAAGAAAATGAGTAATTTTCTTTCAAGCCATTTGCCTGTTAAGCTTTGACAGAGTAATCTTCATTGACTAGGAGTTCACTAATTTTACTAAAAATAATAACTTAGGTAGAATTATAGCATGGTAGACCTATGCTAGGAATAAAGAATTTCTCAGTAAATGAACTCACGTATATAATGTCACATAGAAATTTCTGGAACTTACATTTTGCAGCTATTTTTTGAAAAACCTAAGTTGTTTG